AAAATGGGCGGATTTTTTAAAAATTTTAATGGGAGTTTCTTGGAGGATTTGGGGGTCAACCCCCCCGCCCCCCGGGGCCGTGACCGGGCCCTCCGGGTGGATCAAAGTGTCAACCAGGTGTTTGTGCGGGCTGAACGCAAACCAATGTCGACCCACAGCCGGCTGATCAGGAACTGACTTTAGGTGCTTGTCCAGTGCCAGCTTGAAGACTGCCAGGGGTCTGTTGGTAATCCCCTTATGTGTGCTGGGAGGCAGTTGAACAGTCTCGGGCCCCTGACACTTATTGTATGGTCTCTTAACGTGCTAGTGACACCCCTGCTTTTCATTGGGGGGATGGTGCATCGTCTGCCAAGTCTTTTGCTTTCGTAGTGAGTGATTTTCGTGTGCAAGTTCGGTACTAGTCCCTCTAGGATTTTCCAGGTGTATATAATCCATGTATCTCTCCCTCCTGCGTTCCAGGGAATACAGGTTTAGGAACCTCAAGCGCTCCCAGTAATTGAGGTGTTTTATCTCCGTTATGCGTGCCGTGGAAAGTTCTCTGTACATTTTCTAGGTCGGCAATTTCACCTGCCTTGAAAGGTGCTGTTAGTGTGCAGCAATATTCCAGCCTAGATAGAACAAGTGACCTGAAGAGTGTCATCATGGGCTTGGCCTCCCTAGTTTTGAAGGTTCTCAATTATCCATCCTGTCATTTTTCTAGCAGATGCGATTGATACAATGTTATGGTCTTGAAGGTGAGATCCTCGACATGATCACTCCCAGGTCTTTGACGATTGGTGTTTCGCTCTATTTTGTGGCCAGAATTTGTTTTGTACTCTGATGAAGATTTAATTTCCTCATGTTAACCATATCTGAGTAATTGAAATTTCTCATCGTTGAACTTCATATTGTTTTCTGCAGCCCACTGAAAGATTTGGTTGATGTCCGCCTGGAGCCTTGCAGTGTCTGCAATGGAAGACACTGTCATGCAGATTCGGGTGTCATCTGCAAAGGAGACACGGTGCTGTGGCTGACATCCTTGTCTATGTCGGATATGAGGATGAGGAACAAGATGGGAGCGAGTACTGTGCCTTGTGGAACAGAGCTTTTCACCGTAGCTCCCTCGGACTTTACTCTGTTGACGACTACTCTCTGTGTTCTGTTAGTGAGGAAATTATAGATCCATCGACCGACTTTTCCTGTTATTCCTTTAGCACGCATTTTGTGCGCTATTACGCATGGTCACACTTGTCGAAGGCTTTTGCAAAGTCTGTATATATTACATCTGCATTCTTTTTGTCTTCTAGTGCATTTAGGACCTTGTCGTAGTGATCCAATAGTTGAGACAGACAGGAGCGACCTGTTCTAAACCCATGTTGCCCTGGGTTGTGTAACTGATGGGTTTCTAGATGGGTGGTGATCTTGCTTCTTAGGACCCTTTCAAAGATTTTTATGATATGGGATGTTAGTGCTATTGGTCTGTAGTTCTTTGCTGTTGCTTTACTGCCCCCTTTGTGGAGTGGGGCTATGTCTGTTTTTTTTAGTAACTGTGGGACGACCCCCGTGTCCATGCTCCCTCTCCATAGGATGGAACACGGAGTTCCATGAGTCTGGCCCTGGGGCAGAGTGCATGGGCATGTCATTTATCGCCTGTTCGAAGTCATTTGGCGTCGGATAACATCGGATAGGCTTGTGTTAATAAAATTTTGTGGCTCTCATAAAAAATTCATTTTGATCTTCGACTCTCAGTCTGGTTAGCGGCTTGCTAAAAACTGAGTCATACTGGGACTTGAGTAGCTCACTCATTTCCTTGCTGTCATCTGTGTGGGGCCCCATCTTGTTTAAGTAGGGGCCCAATACTGGACGTTGTTCTCGATTTTTATTTGGATAGGAGAAGAAATACTTTGGGTTTCTTTCGATTTCATTTATGGCTTTTAGTTTTCCCGCGTTCCTGACTCCTAAAGGATTCTTTTAGCTTAAGTTCGATGTTGCTTTTCTCTGACCAGTGTCTCCCTACGCATTTCAGATTATTGACCCTCTTTTAGCCGCTCTGTTATTCTTTTCCGTCGCCTGTAAAGGGAGCGCCTGTCTCTTTCTATTTTACATTTATCCCCCTTTTTCTTAGAGGAATAACCCTTTGTGCAAAAAATCGAGTGCACCGAGTTAATCTGTTCTAGGCATAAAGTTGGGGTCTGTGTTGCTTAGTATATCTTCCCAGCTTATATCGGTTAGGAATTGGTTTACTTGGTCCCACTTTATGTTTTTGTTATTGAAGTTGAATTTGGTGAATGCTCCCTCGTGACTAGTCTCATTATGTCGGTCTGGGGCTCCACGCATACATGTCTGAACCTCAATTATGTTGTGATCTGAGTATATTGTTTTTGATATGGTGACATTTCTTATCAATCATCATTGTTAGTGAAGATGAGGTCTAGTGTATTCTCCAGTTTAGTAGGCTCTATTATTTGCTGGTTTAAATTGAATTTTGTGCAGAGTGAGTTTTCATCAGAGCTGCCTCCTGGTGTTATTACTGCAACAATATTATTTGCTACATTCCTCCATTTTAGGTGCCTTAAGTTGAAAACCCCCCGGAGCAAGATGTTTGGGTGCAGGAGCTGGAAGATTTTCCAGACAGTGGTCAATTTTTAACAGCTGTTCCTGGAATTGCTGGGATGTTGCATCTGGAGGCTTGTAGACTACCACAATGACTAGGTTTTGGTTCTCGACCTTTACTGCTAAAACTTCCACTACATCATTTGAGGCATTAAGCAGTTCTGTGCAAACAAGTGACTCTGCAATGTACAGGCCAACCCCCACCCCCTTTTGCCTGTTCACTCTGTCACATCTGTATAGGTTGTAACCTGGGATCCATATTTCGTTGTCCAAGTGATCCTTTATGTGGGTCTCAGTGAAAGCCGCGAACATTGCCTTTGCCTCTGCAAGCAGTCCACGGATGAAAGGTATTTTGTTGTTTGTTGCTGGCTTTAGACCCTGTATATTTGCAAAGAAGAATGTTATCGGACTGGTGGTATTGTTGGTACTGGGGGGGGATTTTTTTTCCGGCATTAGTATCTGTATCTGTTGGTTTGGAGTGGAGGCCATCGACTGTGGTTCCACTCCAGGAATGACTGGATTTGCTGTACGATTTCTGCCATTTCCTGCCAGTTTTTTTCCTTCCTGGCACTTAAAAACCTCTCCCTCTTGAGTGGCTGTGGCTACCCAGGTTTTCCCATGGCCTGGATGCTCTTTTCAGAGCATTTCGGGCAAATTCGGTCAATTTTATTCCAGGATGCGACCCGCACCAGTCGACTAACACCCAGGTACCCATTTTACTGATGGGTGAACATGGACAACCGGTGTAAGGAAACACGCCCAATGTTTCCACTCTTGCAGGGAATCGAAGAGGTTAAGTTTAATTCCTTGGATCAAGAATCCCACGCCGATCTCAAGGAACCTTCCTTGAGTAGAATGTGATAGCAACATACTACAAGTGTACTGAAAATTTGCTAAAAAAAAAAAAAAAGTGCATTGGATTGGGCAGCTTACTGGATTCGCTAAGTATCCGACTCCGGAGTTGTGACGGGTCCTCAGACTCGTTTCCTAAAATCTCGGGAGCAAACAAATCTGTTGCATTTTCTTCCTTCTTGTCTCCAGATTCATTCCGCTCCCATGTATCTGTACAAGTACCCTCGCCAATTGGGCGCGAGATACCTCTCATTACCTTTTCTCATGGATCGGGCTACCTATTATTTCCCTCTGTCATGAGGTTGTCCCTCACCTGCGCTCTCCTCAAAGTTTCGGGAAGACACAACGAACTTTAGCGCATCTCACTTGCTTAAATCTTTGACCAGTGTCCTCTGGATTATATTTCTTCTATAGAGGCTACCAAGCCTCTGCTATTCTCCCGTGATTGAGAACTGCTTAATTCGTGAGCCGTGATGTAGGACTCGATACAGCTTGTGGACCTCTTCTTCTTTGTTGGGTTTATCAGAACCACTGACACCATACGCCGTATCGAGCCCGGCTTTCCGATGTTCGGGGAAAATTTGTTGCCCAAAGCTGGGCGATGAGAGAAAAGGAACAAAAGTTTGTAAATAGAGAGAGAAACTTGAAGTTCAGTAACGGCTTCCCACCAAAGACCGTTAAAGAATTATCCGCAAACGGAAAAATGGAGCTGGCTAAAAGAAGCCGATAATCTGTAAAGCGCTCGGTGGGTAAAATAGATGAGGACAAGTGTCTCATAGAGAACGGGGGAAATTTGTCACTGATACTCAGGCGAGAGAGAGGCGTCCACACCCGACAAAGGTTGGCATAGAAGTTAGTTAATTTAATATCTTTATTATGCAGAAGTCCCCCTATTTGTCATTAGCTTGTGTACCCAAGTAGGTTTAGCGATTTGGTGGCCCTTAATACCCCAAAAACTATATGATCGATGATACTCTATTTCTACAAGTACATGATACAACTGAACAAGGGCAGCAGGTGTAATGAAACATGCCCAACGTTTCACCCCTGCCGGGATCGAACCCGGACCCTCAGTGTGTTGGCTGAGGAAGATACACAAATAACCCGCACATAAAAGACAGAAGCTTACGACGACGTTTCGGTCCGACTTGGACCATTGACAAAGTCACACTGTCAATGGTCCAAGTCGGACCGAAACGTCGTCGTAAGCTTCTGTCTTTTATGTGCGGGTTATTTGTGTATCGTTCCAGTCACGGTATTGTGCCTTTTTGTTATTTATTTTTGGCTGAGGAAGCTATCAACCCGGGCTATGCCCGAAATGCCCAGGCATGATAGTGGCTTTCTTTGTACTTAGCAAATCAAAATTGTAATTACACGTTGTAAACTATGCAAAGAAATAAAACCTTTAATCCTTAATAACCCCATGGTGACCTAAATTACCTCCAAGGACTTCAGCGGCGGCGTTGGAGTGCAGACGTGTTTGTTCAGGGAGTAAGACACCTGGCTCTGCCGGTGTTTAGGCCTGCAATCCACCTGATCTAAGTTGGGGAATTATTGTTTCCGTTTCTCTTCCCGAAGGAAACTATTTGCTATCTTATTCCCGCCATGATTTGGACAATGTCTTTTTCCCGGACTCCGGGTGGTAGGTCTCAATAAAGCATCAGCTTTAGTGGCCCTAAAGGACTCCAACAACAAAGAATGTATGTATGGCTAATGTTTTATTATATTTCCAATGATTTGTAGAACATGACGTTGTTTTGTAATGTTCTACAAATGAACCCTGATGATAATGATTGATTTATAACCGAAACATTGATGCACAATAAATTACTAGTCATTCCTACTTGACATTTTATTTCTTCAAGCTGTTATTCTGTTCACTGTATCAGTTATGCTAGTATATTTTACATTAAAATTAATATAAATAACAACAAGAACAGTTTATTGCAATTCATTGAATACCCTTAGTATAATTTAAGGTCAATTATAAAAATCTTTTCATCCTTTTTATCCTTTCAAGGGAGGTGTCTCGATGCTGGTGAGGGGCTCTTGATTCAAAGAATTTGAGCTATCCTCCGTTTCCTTGGATTAAGTCAGCTTGTCTTCCCTTCCCAGGTATTATATAACCTTTATGGGTTCAGTGTCTCCCAATTAATTTGATAATTAAACACCTAAATGATGAAGTTGATTCTATGTAGCAGAAAGTCTTCCTAACTAGGTAGTCATTTTGCAGTCTGGAAAGACTTAGAATTAGGTGATATATGATTAAAGTATAAATAGGAATAAATAAATGGGATATAAATAATGTGCGGGAAATATCTTAACAAGACAGAATTCGGAGCAGTGGGCAATGGATTCAAGTTGATTTAATTTATATTTAGAAAATATGTAGGGAAGTATTGGTTAAGCCGTACTTCGAGTTATTGATGAGTGGAATAAACCCCAGGGTGCTGTTAAATATAGATTGAGTGTGATTAGGAAAGTTGGACCTACCTGGCATGGGCCAGTAGAGCTGCTTCCCTCCCTCTACCAACCAAATTGTCATCCCTAAGCCCCTCATATATAAAACTTCTAGAGCTACCCCAGTCCTTTAGCATCTACTTCTATTTTATATGCAATGCTGAATGACACCCAGGTTTAGCTCTTTATTAACACTCTCCATACATACCAGTAATAGCAGTTTTGATGTAGCTTATCAAGTAAGAAGAACTGGGATATGCTGTATTAGTTGCAATAACATTTGTAACAGAATTTTTAAATAATTATAATAAATGTAGTAACAGGAATAATAGTTTCATAATGTTAACAGTAATCACAGCACAGAACTTAGGGTGTCATGTTAGTCGTGAATTCTTGTTGAGTTAGGTGTAAATTTGGTCAAAATTTTTAATTGTGGGTGGAATAATTAGTGGTAATACCACAAGCTTTTAATTTAAAAAATGAATGTATATAATAATAATAATAATAATAATAATAATAATAATAATAATAATATTTTATTTCAGCATGATACAGTTTTTGTACAAAGCAAAAATTCGGGTGTACATGCCAAAAGCTCCTGTATATGCAGAGCATTTCGGACAAACTTAGACTAACTTAAGGTTAAGAAGCAATAATAATAAGGTTTAAATTTAGGAGTTAATAATTTTAATAAGTTAATAATTTTATACAACCCTCTAATTGTAATGAAGTTTTAAGATTTCACTTTTAAAATTTCATACTGATTAGTGCCAAAATGCAATACAGTATTTTTTCATTATTTTTTTCTTCAGATCAACAGACAACTTCACTTATAAAAAAAATGGAGAATGATCAGCAAGCATATCATCTCAAGAAGTTAGTTGAGGAACTTACCACATCAGGCAAAGACAACTTAGATGAAGGAACATTCAAGAAATTAAAAAAAATTTGCAAAAGTTCTGACATATACATAGTTGAGTTATACAGGTTACTTTGTAAACAGTTGAAGAAAAATCATGCAGAAATAAGATACAGTACCTTCCAAATTTGTGATGAAATTTTTCGCAAGTCTCATTGTTTTCGTGAACTGTTGCTGAAAAACTTTTCAAATTTTGTGAACCTTGTGTTGGGTTTAGATCCAAAGAAACCACTTCCAAAACCACTAACAGTTGCCAAAAGACTTAAACAAAAAGCTGTTGAAGCTATTCAGCATTGGTATGATAATTTTAGTGAAGGTTATGTTACATTAAGATTGGGCTATAACTACTTAAGAGACTGTAAGAGGGTTGACTTTGCTGAGCTGACAGCCAGAACTGAAGCAGAGAGACAAAGAGCAGAAGAGGAAAGACAAAGAGTCGAAGAAATTAAAAGAAAAAAGATTGAAAAAATTAGAAGGGACCTTCAAGAAACCTCTCCTGAAATAAAGAATTGCATAGTACAGTTTCAGAATTGTTTTAAGCTACTAATCCCAGATGTTCATGATTTTTTTATTGTACTTAATGATGAAGACACTTCACAAAAAGGTGGATTCATTTGTGATGATGAAGATAATAAAGGAAGTATTCCACATGAGGAAGTAGAAGAAAACCTGGAAGATATTGAATATGGTTCAGATTTCATGCGTGCTCATGGTATTATGAAAGGGACTAATGTTCAGATAAATTTGGAGGATGTTAGAAAAGTTCAGGAAACTGTAGACAATGAGGTGGTGATACGAAACCTTAGGGAGCATGTACAAGTTTTGCGTACAAAATTTTTGCCTTTGGTTAAGGGTTGGGAACAAACCATGCGACCTTTCAGTGAGGGAAATGGGAATATAATCAGACAAATTCTTGATATAAAGCAGTTAGTTGAAAGATCTGTAAAAAAGTTTGAGTCTCTAAAAGTCCTACCTCAGGAAAAGCCATATCACACTGCAGATAATGATTTTGATAGTGATGATGATGATGACTTTCTGGAGGTACCCTTTGATGATCCCAGAGTGATAAGTGCAGCAGCTTCTGAAGCTGCTCTTCTAGGTATGATAAAATCACCCCAAAATACAGATCATCTACAACCCAGTGATCTACACAATCAACCATCAACTTCTGGTGTTTCTCACTTGTGTGGACAACAGTCAATGAAGGAGACAGTTAAAATGAAGAAAAAGCTTCAGACCATAAGATGTCCAGATGAATATCTCAGCAAAGAAAGCTTTACACCTAAACGCCATCATAATCCCCTAGCTGGACTAAGTCAAGTGTGGACTGCCACCCCAGACTTACATGAGCAGGAGGAAATGGAGAATACAGGAGGAATATTGGGTGTGGCAACACAAAGAGTAAACTATGAGCGGACATGGGAACCTGTTAAATGGGCTTGCCGAGCTCCTCTTAAGTCAGGTCGGTTGTGCCCTCGCATGGATCGAGAAAAATGCCCTTTTCATGGCCCAGTTGTGCCCCGTGATGAAGTTGGCAAGCCTCTTAATCCTGAAGATGCAGCAAGAGAACGTGCTGCTCGTGAACAGTATGAAAGAGACCATCCAGCCTGGCAGGATCCTCAACTTTTAGCTGAAATAAAGGCAGCTACAGGTGTTGATCTCAAGGTGCCGAAAGGGCGGCAAAAACGCAAACATAGGTATGAAAATTTGACTGATTTAAGAAAGAACACATCAAGAGAGAGACTTGCTAAGAAGGTTTTAAGTAAAAAGGCTTTACGACGTTTAAATACAGCCTTAGCTCGAGAATATACATCATCTCCTAATGAGTCCTCTATTTTCAACTTTGGTCAAAGCTAAAATATATTTCTGAACTGGACTGGCAATGACATCAGGTATTTTGGGTGCTAAATTTGCATTTCTGATAAAATACAGTGAGTGGGTAGCCAGTAATGGCAGTTGCGGTGGATAAAGGAGAAATTGTTTTGCCATGATTGTAACAATAACGGACAATTCTGCAACCAATGAACTATGTCCTTGTTTCCGAATTGACTAACTCGGTGGATTTTGGTCTGTATTTCTGAAGTCCATTATATTGAGGTCCTTTTGCATATTTTTAAAGATTTTTTTAGAAAATGATTAATATTAAGAACTACCCAACATTTTGGAACAAACAGCAGTTACAGCTATATGCTATACAATTAATTGTATATTTTAACTTGCCTGATGGGACAGGCAAGTTCAAAATGTTTATTGCCTATGATATATGGAATGATTACTAATTTATTAATTTAATTTAAAGATTATTACCTGGCTGCATAACATAATAAATATAGGCACTTTCATTAGACAATAAACCTAGTAATGCACAGTACAAAGAATGCAGACAGGTTGGTTGAAAGGTTGGTACTGTATTTACCTATGCCAGAGAGCTGGTACTTAACCCCTGCAAACTTAAATATACTGTAGTTATAGAGTCCTAAATACATACTGTATATTGAGAAATGACTAGATTAGTGCATAGCTTAGTGCATAATGTCAGTTTAGGTATGTAGTAAATCTTTAGAAGAATGTCCATTGATTTTGAAAATTATTTCTTGTTTGATGTGCTCATTGAAGCTCAATTTGTATTTATGTAAAGTTCGAGGAATATACCTTCCTTTCTTTCTACACAAGTTTCAGTTTCCTGATAGTTAAGGAGCCTCCTTTGCCCTGTGGTATTCGTCAGGGCTTTGGTCTTGGACCGATATAGTTTACTGTTTTTGTTAGTGCTTTAGTCTCACTGTTGGATGCCCATGGGGTTGTTTATCATTTTTATGCTTATAATTCACAAGTCTGTATCTGGGTTCTAAATATGGAAGATGCAAAACTGCTTTAGTTCTTTTTTGGTGGGCATTCGAACTTGGGTGACAAATAGAAAAGTTGAAACGTAATGAGAGTAAGAGAGAGAGGTTGTGACTGTCAGTGGGAAACTTCAGGTTAGTGAAGATTGGTGATTTTGGTGCCTTTGACTGTGGTACTGTCAGTTTGCCATTTGTAGGATTAGTGATTAAATCATTATTATTATTATTATTATCAAATTAAGTGTTAATAGCTGTAATGGGATCAGTGATGGATCAGGGTGTCTACCTGGATTCTTTGTTGTCATTTGTAATTTCTCTGCAATCAGAAAATATCTTGGTAAGCAGTGTCTTGGTCTGTATCCATGTGTTTGTTTCCTCATGGATTGATTTTTGCTTGATCCTCATGGATTGTAGTTTTTTCTTAACTACTTGCTTAAAAGACTTTGGTTTGTACAGAATCATGGGGCTAGTCTGGTATGCTTGCTCCCTACTGAGATCCCACTAGTCCCTTTATGAGCTGCACCATACCACAAAGAGATATTTGTGAAGATATGTTGTGTAATACAGTTGAATACACACCCTGAAATGTATGGAGATTTTTTGTGTATTATAGTCAAATCTCTCTACTTTGAAATGTGTAGGGATCAAGGGTCTTTTCAGATTATAATAATGTCCAGACCAAAGAATATTTCATGGCTCATCCTCATATGTACATCACGAATAATTCAGTTCAGTACGGTAGAGTACATCACGAATAACTCAGTTCAATACGGTAGACTTATAATTCGCACAAGCATACCTTGCAGTTACAATAACTTGCTACAATATTTTTATGGCTACAAACAACAAGTGTATTTTGGAGGAAGTTGCCTTCTAGAGCTTACATGAGCAAGCAAGGGAAAATTGCACCTGCAATTAAAACAGTGAAGGATTGTTTTAACTTGCTTCTGTGTCCTAATGCATCATGTGATTTTTGAGTGCAAGCCTATGTTTAGTTATCTCTCCTGGAATTCCCTGCTTTTAAAGGTAAAGACAAAAGCACTTTGCCTGTTATATGGCAGTCAAACCAAATAGCATGGATTAGCAAGGCCATGTTTATTGAGTGGTTCAAGGATTATTTTATTCCCTCACTCAAGATGTACCTGACAGAAAGAACTTTTTATTCTAGGCTCTCCTCATGCTTGATAATTCATGTAATCATCCACAACTCTTACAGGATATGGACTCAAAAGTTAGGGTAGTGTGTGTATCACCAAATATGACAACTCTGAACAACTACTAGATGAAGTAGTGATTAAGCCATTAATTGCTGCTACACATGCAGTGCTGCAGAAACTCATTACAGTAATGGATAACAACTCAGACACTAGAGAGCCAGAATTCGGGCATAAATTTAACACTGCAAATGCAGTAGCCAGTGTAAATGTTGCATGAGATTAAGCATCCTAATTAACAATACATACAGGCTGGAGAAAATTATGGCCTAGTGGTGAATAATTTTACAGGTTTTCCCCTCACTAGACAGTCAGGTCCAGGAGATTGTATTGTGGATCTGGCAAGAAGATTACCAGGTCAGGGCTTTGAAGGTATGAAGCCAGAAGACATGAATGAACTCTCTGACAATGATGACAAAGCACAAACTGCATAGGAAATGTTGGACAGGCTCAGTTCCTAAATAGACATGAGGCATAGTAATGTCTGAGGATCTCACTTTCAAGGATCACAACAGTGCCACGATCGCACGTGCAAAGAAAATGATAGGATGGATAATGAGAACGTTCAAAATGAGAGATGCCAAGCCAATGATGATCCTTTTCAAATCACTTGTTCTCTCTAGGCTGGAATACTGCTGTACATTAACATCTCCATTCAAAGCAGGTGAAATCGCAGATCTAGAGAGTGTACAGAGATCCTTTACTGCACGTATAAGTTCTGTCAAGCACCTTAACTACTGGGAACGCTTGGAAACACTTGACTTGTACTCGTTGGAATGCAGGAGGGAGAGATATATCATAATCTACACTTGGAAAATCCTGGAAGGAATGGTCCCAAATCTGCACACAGAAATCACTCCCTACGAAAGTAAAAGACTGGGCAGGCGATGCAAAATGCCCCCAATAAAAATTAGGGGCACCATTGGTACACTAAGAGAAAACACCATAAGTGTCCAGGGCCCAAGACTGTTCAACAGCCTCCCATCAAGCATTAGGGGAATTGCCAATAAACCCCTGGCTGCCTTCAAGAGAGAGCTGGACAGATACCTAAAGTCAGTGCCGGATCAGCCGGGCTGTGGCTCGTACATTGGACTGCGTGCGGCCAGCAGTAGCAGCCTAGTTGATCAGGCCCTGATCCATCGGGAGGCCTGGTCATGGACCGGGCCGCGGGGGCGTTGATCCCCGGAATAACCTCCAGGTAACCAGGCAGATAACGGAATAGGATGAGGGAGAAGAGCCTGAACCTTAACCGTTGACACCCCAAAATATACGGGAGACACTGCATGGTATTGGTAAAATTGCAAATACATTATTTTAACTGAAAAAGACCCTGACACGTCTACAAGCATTATACGGAAAGGAATTCTGGGCCAAGCAATTATTCATTATCATTAGGCGAGTACACACGTGCACGCACAAACATACATGCAAATCAAATCAAATCAAGTTTATTCTCTATAAGGGTTACAATGTGGGGTTTACAGGATTTGGATATTGTGTGGTTTACATGTTATAAAATACTAATTACAGAGGGGGCCACTAGGACACCTAGCATGGCTAGGCATTTCGGGCAGACTTAGATTAATTCTTAACATTAAATCCTTACAGATTATGGTATTAAGGCTAGGTAACTATATCATAATTTGTGAGTTTAGCAATGTGAATGCTTTTGTTTTGGCACAATACAAAGTGTCTGTATTGAAGTATCGTAGGCAAACTTATGACTAGTTAGGATTCATTATTTTAAGATTAAGATTAGCATTTCTGTGTTTATAGTCAGTGGGTGAGTGTAATTGTGAACCACCAGGTGGTTATCATGTAGTTAGTTGTCGGAGTGTATCAGGAAGATATTTTCTAACTGTAGTTTTGAAAGTGATGAGTGTGTCTGCATACCTGGAGTTTACCTGGAGAGAGTTCCGGGGGTCAACGCCCCCGCGGCCCGGTCTGTGACCAGGCCTCCTGGTGGATCAGAGCCTGATCAACCAGGCTGTTGCTGCTGGCTGCACGCAAACCAACGTACGAGCCACAGCCCGGCTGATCAGGAACTGACTTTAGGTGCTTGTCCAGCTTTAAGAAGTTATGATAAATCTCTTGGAGCAGGGAGAAAGTGGACCTATAGTGACCAGCGAAGAGGCGGGGCCAAGAGCTGTGAATCGACCCCCGGAACCACAAATAGGTGAGTACACACTCCTCCCACCCTCCATCTCCTTTCCTACTTCTCCCACTCTTCATCTTCCCTCCTCTTCCTACCCTCCATATCCTTCCGTTCCCCTACCACCCTTCATTTCCTTCTCATCCTCCCTCCTCTCCTCTCTAGTACTTTCATTCAGGTTTAGATACACATAAATACAGTAACATAAATTATCATACATAGCAGCACATGTTTAGATTACATAGGATAAACCAAAAAAAGTCAGTGATATTTTTATTGGGGTCCTTCTTCCTTCGTGCTTTCTCCCTCTTCAATTCCTCGATAATAATGTTCTATCTCAACCATAGATGCATGGGAGCACTTCGTTACATCAAAAGTCAGCATTGAGGTTTCCGTCATGAATAATGCACGTTACACTGGTAGAAGTGAAACTCAGAGTGGCGCAACTCTCTCCGGACACTTGTGTCAGTTAGGATTATGTGTATTTTTTTTTTTTACATGCTAATGTTCGTGCTTATCACAATCAAATTTTAAAACAAGTTTTATATGCCGATTTATACATTAATATAGCGCTTAGCGTTTTTTTTTTTTTTTGTGAATGGAATTCAGCGCTGTATGGTCCCAGTAGGTTTAGCGCGGGTTCAATCCCGGCCGGGGGTATGGTTTGGTTTAGCGCTAGGTTTTGATTATAATACTACTACTACTACTAATAATAATATAAATAGAATAATAAATAATAAATATGTTAATAGTAAAAAATCAGTAATTATAATAGGTATAAAATTATACGGCAGTTATAATACAGTAATGTTATTTTTCATGTGACTGGCAGGAGATGAAGGGCTCATGAGCCAAAGAATTTGGACTAACCTTTATTTCCCAGGATCATAACGGATCACTTTCCATTTCCCTTGCCCTGGAAAACTCCTACTGCCTTTGTCGCACTGTATGACCCTTACGGGTTTAGCACTTCCCTTTGATTATAATAATCCTACGGCTTTAACCCTTCCCAATTATTACAACAATAATAGCTCAGATCAATTGATAATGAAGAGAAGTTATAAGCTAGACCGTCTCCATGGAAATAGTACTCTGTAACCCCTCTCAAGAATAATTAGAATATCCAGTCAATATTACTCTAAAAGTTAACGACTCCAAGGGAATTTAAAAAACCAAAAACCCTCTTCCAAATTCTTTGGTTAAATAAAAACAATTTACTCCAGAAGAAAAGTATCCTCTCTCTCAACTACTGATGTCTGTGATCAAGCTTGACGATTTATTCTCTACAGTAGGAGCGCTGTATGACCCTGGTGGGTTTAGCGTTTCTTTTTTATTATAATTTATAGTAGGAAATAACCTTGTAAACAGCCTCCCAGAAACCATACTAACAATAATTATCCAAACTCTTGCCTGGCGTCTACCACGGCATTTTAAATAACATCAGTCATTAAATCAATAAAAAATAAGTCAGTAGCACAGACGAGTACCCACTATTATCTTCAAAAAAAGCTGGCCCTCAAGACAGGTTCCTTGATGCTGGTGAGGGGCTCATGATCTAGGGAATTGGATCTGTGTTCCAATTCCCTGAATTAAGTCTGAATGCTTTCTTCTCACTGGAGGTTCCTTTACGCTGGTGACCCCTCAAGGAAGGTTCCTTGATGTTGGTGAGGGGCTCTTGATTTAGGGAATTGGATTTGTGCTCCAGTTCCCCGAATTAAGCCTGAATGCCTTCCACATCCCCCCCCAGGCGCTGTATAATCCTCCGGGTTTAGCGCTTCCCCCTTGATTATAATAATAATTTACGCTGGTGAAGGGCTCCTGATTTAAGGAATTGACCCTGTGCTCCAGTTTCTTGAATCGAGTCTGAATGTCTTCTCTTCCTCCAAGCGCTGTATAACCCCTAAGGGTTTAGCGCTTCACATTAACAGTTCAAAATGCTTTTCAATAAATTACTTAATACAGCGTTCCAAACTGTATCAAAACAGCCAGGTTACTCCCCCCCCCCAAAAAAAAAAGTGATCGCACCCAAATTGAGAATTAAAGACTAATAGTATTAAAAGTATTTGAGAAAGAGGTCTATTAGTAGCTGTCGCTGTATAGCCCTTGTGGCTTAGCGCTTCTTTTTGATTATAATAATAATATAAGTAGCTGTACTTCTACTTAACCAGTGTGTTTACCCCTTCCAATTTAAATTCTGACCCTTAAAATGCGCTCATAAAAATGGTTGACAGTTTATGCAGCACTTGAAAGAAATTATTATTTTATTTGACTTCACTAATCTGTCTAAGACTTTTAATACAACTGACCACACTGTTTTCTTCAACCTAATCACTATTGACTCAAGAGGGCAAACATACCTGGAGAGGGTTTCGGGGGTCAACGCCCCCGCGGCCCGGTCTGTGACCAGGCCTCATGGTGGATCAGGGCCTGATCAACCAGGCTATTACTGTTGGCCACACGCAACCCGACGTACGAACCACAGGTACTGACTTCAGGTGCCTGTCCAGCGACTTCTTGAAGACAGCCATGTCTATTAATAGGCATGCATCAGTACGTAGTCATAAATGGCACTGCGTCTCCTACCGAAACAAATTAGTTGTTCTCCAAGGTAGCATCCTGGGCCCTCTCCTCTTCATCCCCTCAAGGGAGGTAACTATTCTTGTGAGAGCCTCTTAATGCAAGGAATTGGGTCTATCTTCCTTTGACCAATTTTTTTTTCTTCGGATTAAACATAATTGCTTCTCTTTCTCCCAGACGCTGAGCCGAAAAGGGATCATTCAGACGATAAGCTATCATATAATTATGTTTTACACCGATAAATTGTTGAATAAGACATGCGCAGTACCGTGGTATATTGCTGGAAGTTTACCGTAATACCATTCACTAAATGCTCAACTTTCCTAAAACTGTTTTAAAGTAATATGTAGTTCTATACATTTAATTCATACAACATTTATAAACTCATGCTCAATATGTTTCATTTTTCATATTATTAGTAATAGTCCTAGTTTGACTGCGTATATATATATTTTTTTTACAAAGATAAGTCAAGATGTATACTCCAGAGGTTTACGTACTTCAGTTAATAATATACAGATTTTATTAATCCCATTTCATAGGCTTTATGTTTTCCATCCTCTTAGTACAGCCAGGGTTATGGCTTACTCCATCATTTTCTTTCATAAGCACTATTCATAGATTGTTTTATAAATATACGTATAGTAATATAATATACCAGTTTCCTTTTTATCGTTTCAAGGACTTTAGGTGCTGTTACTTAGCTCTTGAGCTAGCCAAGGGTTAACCATTGTACCACCCACCATTCTGCTTCCTAACCTTTCGGCATGGCTATTTATTAATAATACCTTAATGGAAAATTAATTATAATTATATTATTTTTTGACTGTTTAGTGTATAAGAAGGACTGCAGTCCTAATTATAAAGCTTGTAATTATAGGCTTAAATCTCATTTTACCAAGTCCAACCAGTTGAATGCATAAATTGGGATTGACTGACATATGAACTCAACTTCCCTTACTGGAAGATTCATTATATTATTGTTGACTAATAGTCATGTGTTTAAGAAGGCTCTCGTTTGGACACTTGATCATGTGTCCAGATTTTCCATATAGTCATATCCTGCAATTCGCCGAATGGCTGACTTAATCCTCGGGATACGCCCTCCCCCTCTCATATGAAGTATACTTTACGCTGGTGAGGGGCTCTTGATTTAAGGAATTGACCCTGTGCTCCAGTTTCTTGAATCGAGTCTGAATGTCTTCCCTTCCTCCAAGCCTATGACTGCAGTTGACTCGCAGTTCCCCATGACTAATAATCCGAGGAAGGGGAGGGTAGCTTTTATTTCTTAGATCAAGAGCTTTTACCAACATCAAGACACCTCCCGTTGAAGGAATGGGTATCCAGAAAATTTGACTTTTAAGTTTGATTTATTTATCACCGGTGTTTAGTACGACTGACCGTCGTTCAGCGCAAGTAACCAGATGTTGACACATGTTATTTACATATGTCGACACATTACACGTCGCCATTGTTGTATAAAGTGGGTTATATGACGTCACACTGTGGGTTGACCCCTTTCAAAGTACGTGTTTCCATGATACTTTTTTTACACATCACTTTTACTGGCTAAGAGCTGTTATTGTACCTCAGGTCATTTCAAAGTCCAGCCCTATGTAAGGTATACTATCACCCCCGGATGCGACCCTTAACAGTCGACTAACACACAGGTACCTACATACTGCTATGCGAGACAAGGACAGCAGGTGTAAGGAAACATGCCCAACGTTTCCATTCATGCCGGGGATCGAACCACAGACACTCAGTATATGAGCTGAGTGCGTTGCCAACTGAGTCAGGGGTACCTTAAAAGGCTTTTGAGCCCAGAAATCGGAGCTACCCTCTTCCTCGGGTCAAACCTCATTACTTCCCATTCCAAAGTCGCTCTACAACATTTAATGATTAAACGCCTCCCCAAGAAAATAATAATAAAATAATAATAATAATAATAATAATAATAATAATAATAATAATAATAATAATAATAATAATGGTAGGTAAATGTAAGTGACAACAGGAAGTTAGGCACATTGTTCGCCTCACAATGCATGTATGTGCCAGGTAAAGGTACAGAGCCTTTATTGTATAATTTTAATGTATTCCGTCTACATGCGCAGTGGTAGAGCGTACGGCTAACATCCAAAAGTACCCGGGTCGAGCCCTGAGCAGATGTCTCTTAACATCTGCCCTTCAAGGGTATGGTGTCTTCCCTTGAAGAGAGATGCCTGCCCTTTGAGGGTGCCTTAATTACTGTGAGGGGCTCCTGATCAATCTTCATTACCCCAGTTTCTCAGGCCCTGTATAATCCCCTACAGGTTTACCGTTCCTCCCGTGAGTGTAATAATATACTCTTTTATTATTTTTTTTGTAACACCAAATTCACCGTTAAACGCCACAGTTACCACCAGTGTGACATTTGGAAGCACCTCATCGCCTACGCTATATAGCGGTGTTCCCTTAACTCTCTCCTCAAGGAAGGTTCCTTGATGTTGGTGAGGGGCTCTTGATTTAGGGAATTGGATCTGTACTCCAGTTCCCCGAATTAAGCCTGAATGCCTTCCACATCCCCCCCAGGCGCTGTATAATCCTCCGGATTTAGCGCTTCCCCCTTGATTTTAATAATAATAATAATCCCTTAACTCTGCTGTATAGCCCTTGAGGCATAGCGCTTCTTTTTTATTATACTAATAATAATTAGCGTTTCTTTTTTATTATAATAATAATCCCTTAACTCTGATCTAGTTTACTGACTTCAAATAAAGTCAACATTACTCCTATAATGTCTCAAAACATGCTTACACGTTATTATTTACAAACCTTCATGTCCGGTAAGACTAAATAAGTTCAACTACACTTTTCCTAATTTGATTCCATGTCAAGTTTTGTTTAGATGTGGCGTTAATTTATTTTAAATCTTATATTAAAAAAAGGAAAAAGTGCAGTTTGTCCTCTAAATGCATGCTTGTTAAAGTTTTTTTTTTATTATAATGAGTTTAGTATTTGTGATGCATGTTTAATAATGAATTATGTATATGTGGCAACTTGAGTGGCTGGTGCGGGGGCATTCCCAGCTACCTCAGTCGCGGCAGACCTGTGCTTGTGTGTGGGGCATTTACTGTACACTTCCACAGCAATTTAAGCATAACTTTGTAGTTTCGCGAATTCTTCATTGTTGTACCTGTGATGTGTTGTAACAAAATGAGTACCAAAATTCACGAGTTACCTGTCTGATAAGACCATTAAGACGCTTGCGAATGTGTTAGCTACAGGACATAATGGTTCTGCGGAGAGGTATAGCGTATTTCATCTGTGTTTGGTGTGTTCTCTTGGCACAGACAATAGTTTACACCCACGCTGGACAACTCTCACTCAGTAAGTATACTGTGGCGATCTCTGTGTCTCTCTGCCTATACTTTCTCCGGAATTATCACCCTGTAATTCATTTAGAGAGAATGGATCAAAGTAGAATGACATGGAGAGCATTTAAATCGGTAGGAGATGGAAGACGGGGTAGGGGTCGTCCTCGAAAAGGTTGGAAGGAAAGGGTAAGGGAGGTTTTATGGGCGAGGGGCTTGGACTTCCAGCAGGCGTGCATGAGCGTGTTCGATAGGAGTGAATGGAGACAAATGGTATTTGGGACCTGACGATCTGTTGGAGTGTGAGCAGGGTAATATTTAGTGAAGGGATTCAGGGAAACCGGTTATTTTTATATAGCCGGACTTGAGTCCTGGAAATGGGAAGTACAATGCCTGCACTCTAAAGGAGGGGTTTCGGGATATTAGCAGTTTGGAGGGATATGTTGTGTATCTTTATACGTATATGCTTCTAAACTGTTGTATTCTGAGCACCTCTGCAAAAGCAGTGATAATGTGTGAGTGAGGTGAAAGTGTTGAATGATGATGAAAGTATTTTCTTTTTGGGGATTTTCTTTCTTTTTTGAGTCACCCTGCCTCGGTGGGAGACGGCCGACTTGTTGAAAAAAAAAAATTCCTCGCGCTCGTCCAGGGAGGTTCCTTGATGCTGGTAAGAGGCTCTTGATCTAGGGAATTGAATCTGTGCTCCAGTTCCCTGAATTAAGCCTGAATACCTTCCATTCCCCCACAGGCGCTGTATAATCCTACGGGTTTAGCGCTTTCCCATGATTATAATAATGTAATTCCTCGCATATCTGTTTTGTATCTCAGGTACAGATTTTCTAACAAGACTACGTTAATTTTTTTTGTTTAATATACGGTGCTCATAAAATAAAAATTGGCGTTTGTTGAATAATTTCTAGCAGCAGAACTGTAAGTGTGCTTCAGAATTTGGGTAATTTGGTCTCGTTTAATATCTTACAAGTAACAGTGACATTTTTTAATGCCAGGAAGAAAGAAAAGCTGTTAAGAAATGACGAATACTACACCACCTCGGATCACTAATGGGGTGGAGGCGCAGTCAGTGCCCCCCCACTCCAGAACAACAGATATTAGTGCCAAATAGAGCATCCCTACATACCATCAATACGACAACATTTGTATTTGCAAATATATAGGGTCTAAAGCCATCAACAAACAACAAAATACCTTTCATCAGTGGACTGTTCACTGTCAAATGAATGCGTACATAAGGGGGGTTACCAATAACCCCCTGGCTGTCTTCAAGAAGGCACTGGACAGGCACCTAAAGTCAGTACCTGACTAACCGGGCTGTAGCTCCTACGTCAGTTTACGTGCAGCCAACAGTAACAGCCTGGTTGATCAGACCCTGATCCACCACGAGGCTTGGTGTCAGACCGAGCCCCGGGGGCGTTTACCCCTGAAACCATCTCCAGGTAAATGTTTGTGGCTTTCACAGAGACCCACACAAAGGAACACTTTGATAACGAAATATGGATCCCAGGGTATAACTTTCAGATGCGACAGAAAGAACAAGCAACAGGGGGGAAGGGGGTTGTTGGCCTATATGTCACCGGGTCGTTCATATGCTCGGAATTGTTAAACACCACAAATAGTGTAGTTGAAATTTTGGCAGTACAGCTATAAAAATTGACTACTGTCTGGAAAATCTCCCAACCCCAGCCCCAGTTATCTTGCTGGTGGGTGATTTCAATTTAAGACACCTAAAATGGAGAAATGTGGCAAATAATGTGTTGGCAGAGATAAACCCAGGAGGCAGCTCGGATGAAAATTTACACACATGAACCTGGAGTTTACCTGGAGAGAGTTCCGGGGGTCAACGCCCCCGCGGCCAGGTCTGTGACCAGGCCTCCTGGTGGATCAGAGCCTGATCAACCAGGCTGTTACTGCTGGCTGCACGCAAACCAACGTACGAGCCACAGCCCAGCTGGTCAGGTACCGACTTTAGGTGCTTGTCCAGTGCCAGCTTGAAGACTGCCAGGGGTCTATTGGTAATCCCCCTTATGTATGCTGGGAGGCAGTTGAACAGTCTCGGGCCCCTGACACTTATTGTATGGTCTCTTAACTTGCTAGTGACACCCCTGCTTTTCATTGGGGGATGTTGCATCGTCTGCCAAGTCTTTTGCTTTCGTAGTGAGTGATTTTCGTGTGCAAGTTCGGTACTAGTCCCTCTTGGATTTTCCAGGTGTATATAATCATGTATCTCTCCCGCCTGCGTTCCAGGGAATACAGGTTCAGGAACTTCAAGCGTTCCCAGTAATTGAGGTGATTTATCTCTGTTATGCGCGCCGTGAAGGTTCTCTACATTTTCTAGGTCAGCAATTTCACCTGCCTTGAAAGGTGCTGTTAGTGTGCAGCAATATTCCAGCCTAGATAGAACAAGTGACCTGCAACAAATTCACATTAAGCCAGCAAAGAGTGGAGCCAGCAAGACTGGAAAATACACTTTGCCTTATCTTCATTAATGATGATCTGGTACGAAGTGTAACAGTATCAGTAGAAGTACAGACGGGCTCCTGAGATCAGTTGTGAGGGTTTTTTCACCAAATTCAACTTCAGTAACAGAAGCATGCAGTAGGACTAGATCAACCATGTCCTAAATGAAACAAGCTGGGAAGATATCCTAAACAATACAGATCCGAACCTTTGCCTAGAAAAAGTTAATTGTGTCGCTTGAGGTATGCTCAAGGCACATGCCCCTAAGACAAAAGAAATGTAAACTAGAGACTCCCTCTACAGACGAAGGTGAAGAATCACAGAGCTGCTGAAAGGGGCCAAGTATATCTGAAATATGGAAGGAGGCACTGGCCAGAGAAATAGAAGACGTCGAACTTAAGCTTAAGGAATCATACAGGAGCCAAGAAACACGGGAAGGAATTAAAGCCATGAACGAAATTAAAAAAAAAAATCTTATGCTAGATCTAGGGCAAAAACCACATCCAGTAGGGCCCCTCCTTAAACGAGATAAGGCTTAAGCACAGATAACAGCAAAGAAATGAATGAGATATTGAAGTCCCAGTATGGCTCAGCGTTTAGCGAGCCGTTGATCAGACTTAGGGTCGACAATCTAATTTTTTTTTATGATCGAGACTCAAAATTTAGTTAATTCAATGATTTGATAAAATCCTAACACCACAGGACTTAAAGCAATAAATGATATGCCCATGCACTCTGCCCCGGGCCCAGACCCGTGGGACTCCGTGTTCACCAAGAACTGCAAGAAACCCCTTCCACGTGCACTAACTATTCTATGGAGAAGAAACATGGACACAGGGGTCATCCCATAGTCACTAAAAACAACAGCTATAACCCCACTGCACAAGGGTGGCAGTAAAGCAAGTTGCAAAACATTACAGACTGATTGCACTAACGTCCCACGTTATAAAAAATCTTTGAAAAGGTTCTAGGAAGCAAGGTCGCCAACCACGTGGATACCCATCAGTTGCACAACCTAAGGCAGCATGGGTTTAGAGGCGGTTGCTCCTGCCTCTCACAGCTACTGGATCGCTATGACAGTCTTCAATGCCCTGGAAAACAATCAAAATCCAGATGTATATACACAGACTTTGCGAAAGCCTTCGATAAGTGCGATCATGGCATAATAGCATACAAAACTCGTGATAAAGGAATAACAGGAAACGTTGGTAGATGGATCTACAACATCCTAACAAACAGAACACAAAAAGTAATAGTAAACAGTCAAGTCAGAGGAGGCTACACGAAAAGCTGTTCCACAGTGTGCAATACTCTCCCCGTCCTTTTCCTTATTGTGGGGTTCCTAATTCAAAATCTTTAGTTACACTTCTGTGTCCCTGGAACAACAGACGACTTTCTGTTGGACAGGTAACCTATAATCCAGCGGAGAAGCCATCCTCCAACATCCATTCTGGCAAGTTCACTAATGATTACATGTCGGTTGGCTACATAAAAAGCGGATTTAAGGTCAAGGAAGGTAGTGTATGAGCTGTCAGTGTGCAGAGTGAGAAAGGTGATAATGCAATGATGCACACTCCTTCCATGCATGAAGGGGACTGTAGGGGAAATTTCCGCGCGCGCTCGGCCAAAAATCGAAAAATTATGGAATTTGAGTGTCTTCCATTGCAGACACTGCAAGGCTCCAGGCAGACATCAACCAAATCTTTCAGTGGGCTGCAGAAAACAATATGAAGTTCAACGATGAGAAATTTCAGTTACTCAGATATGGTAAACACGAGGAAATTAAATCTTCATCAGAGTACAAAACAAATTCTGGCCACAAAATAGAGCGAAACACCAACGTCAAAGACCTGGGAGTGATCATGTCGGAGGATCTCACCTTCAAGGACCATAACATTGTATCAATCGCAGCTGCTAGAAAAATGACAGGATGGATAATGAGAACCTTCAAAACTAGGGATGCCAAGCCCATGATGACACTCTTCAGGTCACTTGTTCTATTTAGGCTGGAATATTGCTGCACACTAACAGCACCTTTCAAGGCAGGTGAAATTGCTGACCTAGAAAATATACAGAGAACCTTCACGGCGCGCAAACCTGGAGTTTACCTGGAGAGAGTTCAGGGGGTCAACGCCCCCGCGGCCCGGTCTGTGACCAGGCCTCCTGGTGGATCAGAGCCTGATCAACCAGGCTGTTACTGCTGGCTGCACGCAAACCAACGTACGAGCCACAGCCCGGCTGGTCAGGAACCGACTTTAGGTGCTTGTCCAGTGCCAGCTTGAAGACTGCCAGGGGTCTGTTGGTAATCCCCCTTATGTATGCTGGGAGGCAGTTGAACAGTCTCGGGCCCCTGACACTTATTGTATGGTCTCTTAACGTGCTAGTGACACCCCTGCTTTTCATTGGGGGGATGTTGCATCGTCTGCCAAGTCTTTTGCTTTCGTAGTGAGTGATTTTCGTGTGCAAGTTCGGTACTAGTCCCTCTAGGATTTTCCAGGTGTATATAATCATGTATCTCTCCCGCCTGTGTTCCAGGGAATA